GGCTGTGGGAGCTGCTTCCCCATCTCTCCTGGGACTCACGAGCTGTACCTGCACTTAGGGCTGGCCCTGATCAGCAGCGAGGTGGTTCCCTTGATCCAGGGCTTCCGCTTAGCACTCCATCCTTCACTCGTTGGCTCAAGTGTTGGATGCTGAGTAGTGAGGTCTGTCTCCCGGGAGGATGGTTCTATCATCTTTCCTTCCCCCATGTTGTGGTGAGCAACCTGACAGCATCGCTCTGGTTTCTTGACTCTTCAGTGTGATTGGTGGAGAAGCTGATGTAGTGGAGGTTATACTGGAATGGATGCATGTGAGGTGTTACCGTCTTTAAGAGATAAAGTTCTGGTTCGGCCATGGGGCTGGGGCAAAAGAGGCCCCCTGCAACGTGGCTGATGTAATGAGTGCCCGAGCCAGGCCAGACCCAATGCTTGGGACTCAGGCCATGCACTGCAACCATGTGGTGATTGAGTCCTAGCCTGTTCCCAGGCCCGAGAGATGTCTTCCCTCGGGGTAAGTACACCATGAGGGAATCTCAGGAATGGGATTAGGCTCCTGGCTCTGCCCTGCTGACACCATCTTGTGGCAGGAAGTGCCAGGACAGTGTTTGGCTGTAGGGCCCCTGGGGCAAAAGGAGCCCCCTGTAGCATGGCTGCTATGAGGGGTGCCTGAGCCAGGCCAGACCCAATGCTGGAGACTCAGGCCATGGTCACTGCAGCCACACAGCGACCAAGTCCTAGGCTTTTGGCGGCCAGTTGCCCAATGGGCTTACGGCTCTGCCTGCTGGCCGCCTGGCAGCGAGCTCTAGGGTTTTTAGTGTATGTAATTGCTGCCTAGGGACACCCATGGATAGGGCCAATGTGAGTGCAGGTGAGGGATGAATCCTGTGTGACTCCCAGCAGTGGGGTCATGGAACTTGCTGACAAGCATGAGGACTGAGACCTGGTGGTTTGGAGGAGAGAGTCCATAAGATACATTTTGGCCAGACCAATTCACCAGCCACATGGGAATCCTCAGATAGGCTGTTAGCATACAGCATCTCTTGCCCCGGCCCGCGGGGTCTTCAATTGAGACCTGGGGAGAGAACCGACGATTGGGGGGGACAGGAGACACGAAGAATGGGAGCAAGACAGGAGGTCTGATCAAGCTCTGGAAACTTTATTTTCTCAGGCAGCATTTAAGCAGCAGGTAAAGGCTGGGGGGGGAGGTTTTACAGAAGGATGTGGGCCAGATAGGGCAGAGGTCACCATGACAACCGTTATCTTGGGTGAACAATTACAGGTGAAAGCTTACGAGGAAACTAGGTGAAGGATAACTGAATCTTGCATTCCAAGACCATTACAAAGTGAGGAAATAACAAAATGGAGTCACCCCTGCTGTTCGGCAGTTCTCTGGTCCCTGGCAATCTCTGACTGCCACATGCCAGTCCACACGAAAGTTATGGCTGGGGGTCTGTCTGGCAGTGCTGGTACCAATACCTGATAGAGTGTTGAAACAGAGGATGGGTCACATTAGGCAGGGGCATGACCGTAACTAGCACATGAGAGAACCAGGTCTGGGAGTAGATTCTGTGGAGGAAGTGTGGGCCAAACCATGTGGAAATTCAGGTCCTGCTGGTTAGCTCAAGAGTTGGGGTGGTGATAGGCTGAGCTATGTGTGACCATACAACCTGCCATCACTTCTGGGCAGGTCAAAGCAGCAACACCCGAATGTGCATCCTAAAAGAGGGAGTAGGGTGTGCCAGGTTGCGATGTTCACTAGCTCATACAAGGCCAGAATGGAAGGACAGACTATGCCAGGCACTGGCCTAACACCCACTGGCATGTATGAGATCTGGATCTGGATCAGTGGGAACTCTCACTGATGATCACATGATTTAGGCCTGGGGGTTGGGCAAGCATGGTAGCTGCAAAGGCTGGCTAATGTGTGAATTGGTTATGGAAGGGGGTGGACTGGGCAGGGCCGAGCAAACCTTAGCTCACAAGCAAGAACAGAAATCAGGATGGAGCACAGGTCATGCTGAGCTAGGCCCCTTACACTGGCTGATATGCATGAGCCAGGGATGCCAGGACACAGCATTGAAAGAAAAGGCCAAGACAGATGAGGGGCTATGCCAAGCTAGGTTAGAGCAACTACTAGCACACATATGATCTATGGCTGGGAACAGACCTGGTTGGGGAGCTAAGAGGACACCCTGGCTGGGTTGGGGTTCCTGATGGTGAGTGCGGGGGCTGGAGTGGGGGCTGCGTTCTGGTCTGGACATGGTTGCAGTGTCTTTTAGCACAGATGTGGGCTGGGCGCACCAACCCAGGCTAGACTCTAGCACCATCTGGTGCTCTGGAGAACCAGGGTGTATGTGAAACAGACTAGGCTAGGTGAGAGCTGTATCTGGGTATGGACTAACCTTGTCTGGGCTGAAACATCAGGAAAGGCCACTACTTCCTGCCAGGACAGGAGGTGGACTAAATAGGGCTGGCCCATGGACCCACCAGTATGCACGAGATCTGGCATTGGGAGAGGTTCTGATGGAGGAGCTTGGGAAACTTCTCTGTAGGAACACAGTCCCTGCAGGTGAGTGCAAGAACCACGATAGGGAGTAAGTCAGACCAGGCCAGGGAAAGGTACCCACCAGGATACATTTGAATAGGTTGGGGGTGGACCAGGTTGAAGCAGTTCACATCACCCACTGGCGAATCTGAGTATCAGAAGAGAGTGTGGGTTGTGCCAGGTTTGGTCACAACACATACCAGTACATAGTATGGCTGGGATTGGGTGTCTGCTTGGCTGGGTTAGGCTGTAACCCCCACCAGCATCAGCTGGAATTGGGGTGGGCTGGACTGGGCCAGGCTACAGCACCCACTGGCAAAAAACTGAGGGAAGGGGGACCATGCCAGACTGGGCCACAGCACCCAGCCAACACATGTGAGAACCAGCAGGGGAGGGGGCAAAGCTGGTAGGGGGAATGTGGAGGGCTCCCCTGCTGGACTTCCACTCCTACTGACTGGAGGGCGTGAGTTGGGAAGGGGGTGGATCAGACCAGGCAGGGCTAGAAAACTTGTGTGCCTCCTGTGAGCTGGATCAGGGAAAAGCCAGGCTGGGCTGACTGTTCCTACTGGTGTAAGCATAAGTCATAGTGGGTGAGTGTTGGTTAGGCATTGCCACAGCATCAGCTGGCAGAAGGTGGCGCCGGGGTCTAATTCTGTTAAGTTAAACCTCCGAACCATCTGCAGAGAGCATAATCTCGGAGTGGGAGTGGCCTAGTAGGGAAAAAATGGGCACCTCTCTCTTGGGCTACCCATTGGAGAGCATGAAAACCAGGATTGGGGCAGGGGTGGCTAGACAGAACGGCAACTACCAGCATGTGTATGGGCTAGAAAGTAGGGTTAGTTGGGTTGAGCTAGGATCAATGCCCGTTGACGTGTATAAGAGCTGAATGGGATGTGGGACAGACTGGACAAGTCTGCTGTACATACTGGCAAGCATGGGAATCAGGGCAGGGGGCAGGTATGGTGGGCTTATTGGGAGTTGCCCCTATTAGGCTGCAGCTCCCATTGGTTTGTGCGATGGCCAATGTGTGCTGGGCAGAATCAGGCTTGACTGCAACACCCATTGGTTCGTGTGGAAGACAGGGTTGGAAACAGAACTGACCCAGCAATTGCAATCACCAGCATATGTATAAGATGACTGGGGAGACGGATTGTGCTGCTGCCTGTACTGGCAAACACACACAAAAATCAGGTCTGGGATTACCTTAGGTGAAGTTTCTTTGGGGATTCCTCCAACTGAACTGCTGATCTCAGAACCCCAATCATGAAGAGAATTGCAGGTTCCATGGTCTGACCATGGAATGCATGCATGTAGGAGGCTCAGATGGAGCAGTGGACAGCATATCCAGGTGCACATGGAGGACATGGCTGTCCATCAGAGCCTTGGCCCAGTTCCAGGAGATGTCACTCAATGTGAGCTTTTTGAGTTAAGATGAAGATGGTCAGATGCTGAGAGACAGTGCCTCTCAGGCATCAGTGATGTTTGCAAAGGCCAAGGAGCAGGAGGAATGGCAAGTGGATCCGAAGTCATACAGGCCAGCAGTTCTGTGTAACAGCCCAAGCATGAGGTACAGGCAGGGAAGGAAGCCTGAGAGTGAGCTGGAGTGGGGAAAGTTCTGGACAGACTTTGGTGCCAGGCCCTAGGATTCTGATCTTGTTCTACAGTGGCCATCACTGGTGGCTGATACAGAGAGCTCAGAAAGGTTTATGCTGTCCATCACCTGGACAGAGGGTAGAGAGGCAAAGTGCATGTAGGGGTCAGGAATGATGGATGGATGTGAGGGTTTTGTGAAGGCAAGAAAACTGATTTGGGAGCTTCTGTGTTTACAGAGGAAAGTAATGAGGTGAACCCCAACCGCTCTGGAAGAATTATAAAATAATTGTGGAGGAATAGATGACAGACATGGAAAGCAGTAGACAGAATCACAGGCTGAAGTAGCAATGTAATTGAAAAAACTGCAGCAATACTAAGGGCCAGCAGGTGTCTGACTTGGGTGATCACGGGCAAGGCTGATGAGAAGGTATTTGGTGGGGAAGATACTGAGTCCAGCTTGGGATGTGTGGGCCAGCTAAGTGGCCAGTCCTGCAGACACTCAAGTCCGCAGTTCAGGGAAGAGGTCAGAGTGGCGGATGCCAGTTTAGGCTTAAAGGCTCGCAGCAGCCTGTAGGTAAGAGAATCATGTGCAAGAAGCGTTGCACGCAGGGTCGCTTGCAGAGCAAGAAGGGCTGGGCCAAGTGCTGGGGAGAGCACTGGCCCGTGGAAGCTGGCTGCCAGGGAAGGGAGGTGGGGCTGCCAGGTGACAGGGCTGTCACCGGGTGCTGGAATCAGCTGTCTGCCTCGTGTCTGTGCCCTCCCCATCAGCTCCCTGCCAGCTGGGGACAGCCTGGCTGCATGCTGGTGTTCCCGCTGCACAGGGCTGCTGGCCCGGCAAGCCTCACTTTGTCTCTGCTGCTTTGCAGGGAAGCAGTTTAAGTGTACTGTGTGTGACTACACGGCAGCCCAGAAGCCCCAGCTGCTGCGGCACATGGAACAGCATGCCTCCTTCAAGGTAAGAGGATGTGGGGTCCGGGGGAGCCCAAGAAGTGAAGGTGTTCGGGTCAGCCTGTGTTCAGGTCCGCGTCCCTTCCAGGCCTAGTTCTGGTACATGTGCAGTCTGAGTTCCTGTGCAGTGTGTCGAATACATCATCTCACTAGATGGGCAGCATCACTGTTGGAAAGCAAGTCAGAGGGCAGGGTGAGCAGATGCAGAGGGAAGGTGTGCACCTGCCCTAAACACCTGCAGGGGTGAAGAGGAAAGGGTGTGGCATATTCGGATCTGGATTAGCTCAGGTGAAGCGATGGAGAAGCAGGTGTCACAAGGCCCACCTGGAAGGCCATTGTGCGAGCAGGGGCTAGCACTCAAGGGGGCTTATGGCAGGGGCCCAGCTGGCTCTCTGCATTTGTTCAGAGTCTGTGAAATACAGGTGGTCACAGCTGCTTAGCCCCAATGCCCTGATGTGGGCGCTGATAACAGGCTGTAACATGTTCTATTAAAAGCTCCTGCTCAGAAAATCAGTCAAAGAGGGTGGTGGGATTTTGATGGGGGAAATCCCAGTCTCCAAAATAGTTCTGTAAAATTCAAAAATTAAAAAAAAAATTAAAAACAAAACTCCTGCTCAGCACTCGGCCAACCTGCCTTTAAAACTGATGTTGTGGGGGCCTGGTAGTGTGGCCTAGCAGCTAAAGTCCTCGCCTTGAACCCGCCGGGATCCCATATGGGCGCCGCTGCTAATCCTGGCAGCTCCACTTCACATCCGTCTCCCTGCTTGTGGCCTGGGAAAGCAGTCAAGGGCAGCCCAAAGCTTTGGGACCCTGCACCTGCATGGGAGACCTGGAAGAGGTTCCAGGTTCCCAGCTTTGGATTGGTGCAGCATTTGGATTGGTGGCCATTGCGCTCACTTGGGGAGTGAATCATCAGACGCAAGATCTTCCTCTCTGTCTCTCCTCTCTGTATATCTGAGTTTGTAATAAAAATAAATAAATCTTAAAACACACACACGCACACACACAAACAACTGATGCTGTGGGCCTGGTGTGATAGTGTAACAGTTAAGGGATGCATGTTGCATTGTACCCCCACATCTGGATATGGTAGATCCCGGTACTGAATCACATACATTTCCATAACTGAGAAGGCATGAAACAAGGTCAACAACTGATATGAGTTGAAAACAACAGCCACAGGAACAGCAACAACAACAACATTTAACAGCATCATGAAAAAAACGCACCAGTGAGTAAGCAGCACATAGGTGACGAAAAGCAAACACGAAAGTACCTTTGGGAAAATGATGCCACTGTGTGATCCGTGAGCCAGCGATGACTTAGACAAGAGAAAAGAAAGTATTTGGAATAAATGCAACTGAAATCAAAAACATTAAAACACATGGGATACAGCCCCCCGCCCCCCCCCCCCAAAAAAAAAAACCAGTGTGGATCAGGTAATTGAAGTTGCACTTTTCATGCTGGTTTCCTTATATTATAGAGAATATGTGGTATTTGCTCTTTTGTGATTGACTCATTTCACTGGGCATAATGGTCTCTAGTTGAGACCACCTAGTTGTAAATAGTATAATTTCACTCTTCTTAATAGCTGAGTAGTATTCCATGGAGTAGATGTACCACAGTTTCTTTAAGCACTCTTCCTTGGATGCACATCTGGATTGTTTCCATGTCCTTGCTATTGTAGATTGTGCTGCTGCAAATCTCACATGCAGATTTCACTTCTACTGGGTATATTCCTAGGAATGGGATAGCTGGGTCATATGGCAGATTTATTTGCAATTCTCCAAGCACTCTCCACACTGATTTCCACAGTGGTTGTAACAGCCTACACTCCCGCCAGCAGTGAGGGAGGTACCTTTATCCCCTCTTCCATGCCAGCAGGTATTGAGTTCTGAATGTAGGCCAGTCTCACTGGAGTTAGGTGGTACCTCAACGTGGTTTTCATTTGTATCTCTCTGATGACTAGGGATCCTGAGCATCTTTTCATATGTCTGTTAGCCATTTGAGTCTGTTCTTTTGAGAAATGTCTGTTATTTCTTTTGCCCATTTTGTTAGAGTTTTTTTTTTTTTTTTCTGTCCCTGGGTTTCTGAAGCTCTTTGTAAATCCTGTGTATTAGACTCCTATCACTTGTGTAGTTTGCAGAAATTTTCTCCCCATTCTGTTGGTTGCTTCACTTTGTTAATTGTTTCCCTTGCTGTACAGAAGCTTTTTACTTGATTTAGTCTCATTTGTTCATTTTGGCTTAGGTTGCCTTTGCTTTTGGTGCCTTTTCTAAGAAGTCTTTCCTCATTCATATGTCTTGGAGAGTGCTTCTTATGTTTTCCTTTAATAGTTTGATGGTTTCTGGGTATAGATTTGGATCCTTGATCCATTTAGAGCTGATTTTTGTATGTGACAGGTGTGGGTCTTGCTTCTTTATTCTGCAAGCTGCTATCCAGTTGTCCCAACAGTGTTTGTTGAAGAGACCAGGCTTTTTGCCTGGATTGTTTTCAGTTTTCTTGTCAAAGATGAGTTGACTATACATGTGATGACTCCCTTCTGGTGTTTCTATTCTGTTCCACTGATCTTCTCTGTTTCTGTGCCAGTACCAGGCTGTTGTGATGATCACTGCTCTGTCGTATGTCGTGAGGTCTGTAACTGTGATTCCTCCAGCTTGGTTTTTATTCTTCAGGATAGCTTTGGCTATTCGTGGTCTTTTGTGATTCCAGGTGAACTTTTGTATCATCTTTTCTATTTATGAGAAGAATGTTGTTGAATCTGTATATTACTTTTGGTAATATGGTCTGTATTAAGAGTCAGATTTCTAGAGGAATCTTAAATACCTAGAAATTAAGCTAATTAAATATATGAAAGACCTCTATGACAAAAACATTAAAAAAGGAAATAGAAGCAGACATGTCTCTGAGTCTTAATGCAGATGCAAGCTCCGTGTCCAGGCAGCAGAAGTGACTTTATTTTGAAAGTTGCATCTTTTGCTTTGAAAGGGACACTCAATTGAAGAGGACTCTTGCTTTGGCTAGTCTTGTATGTATCTTGTCATCATTCCGTAAACACGAAAGGATAGTGAAACATGCAGTTTTTCAGGTAAATAATGTGTTTTCCTGAAACTTTAAAGACACCCTCGTATTTCCATACATTTACAGTGTATTAGGTATTGCAAGTAATCTAGACATCTCTTAAAGTATACAGGAAGAAATGGGTACGTTATATGCAAATATTATGCCAGTTTATATATGGGGCTTGCTCACCTGCAGTTTAAGAGTAGTATTTACAAAAAGTTATTTTGTGAAATGTTTGCCCATTTCCCGTACCCATTTCTTGAGTAGCTTGTTTGTTTTGGTGTTTTGGTTGTTTTGAAGCTCTTTGTATATCCTGGAAATTAGCCCCCTATCACCTATGTAGTGTGCAAAGATCTTCTCCCACTCTGTGGGTTGCTTTTTCACTTTGCTGATTGTTTCCGTTGCTGTACAGAAGCTTCTTAGTTTGATGAGGTCCCATTTGTTTATTCTGTTCTCAACTGCTATTGCTTTTGTGTCCTTCTTAGAAAGTCGGGACCTACTCCTAGGTTTTGCAGGGTATTTCCTACATTTTCTTGCAAGAGTTTGAAGGTTTCTGGATGTAGGTTTAGGTCTTTTATCCATGTAGATTGGATCTTAGTGTATGGTGATAGATGTGGGTCTATCTTTTTGTTTCTACAGGCTATCAGCCAGTTGTCCCAACAACATTTACTAAAGAGGCCTTCCCATTTGCTTGGACTGTCATTGGTCTTTTTGTCATTTTGAGATTCACATTGTGTCACGGCGGGTTAAGCTGCCTGCTGTGAGACCAGCATCTCCTTTGGAGGCAGGTTTGAGCCCTTCCTGCTCCACTTCCAGTCCAGGTCCCTGCTGATGCACTTAGGAAGCAAGTTGAAGATGGAGCAAATTCTTGGGCTCCGTGCTCACATGGGCAGCCTGGATGAAGTTCCAGGTTCTCAGCTCATACCGGAACCAGCCATGACAGTTTCAGCCATTTGGGAAGTGAACCAGTGGCTGAAGCTCTCCACGTGTCTACCTTTCAAATATGTGAATAAATCATCTGAGTTTGCTTCCCAAGTGGCTGGACTGGGACCAGTGCTGAAGCCGAGGGCTGAGAAGTCCATCCTAGCCTGCCACATGGGTTGCAGGAACCTGAACACTTGGCCTGTCACTGCTGCCTCCTAGGGCGTGTGTTAGCAGGAAGCTGGTGACAGGAGCCAGATTTGAGTATCAGCTCCACCTAAGCACCCTGATGCAGTATGCAGATGTCCTGACTGGTTTCATGCTTGCTGGGTCAGATACTCACCCCTCCTCTACCTGTGTGTTTGCTACCCTAGTGTCCTGGAGCCAGGCCTCTGCTGGTACCCAGGGATGACTCTATGAGCCAAGTTTGAGCACAATGGCTGTGTACAATCCACTGAGAGAGATAGAAACATCTGTCCACTGGTTCACTTCTCAAGTGACTACAACAACTGGAGCTGAGCTGATCTGAAGCCCAGAGCCAGGAGCCAGAAGCCAGGACACCCGGGTCTCCCACGTGGATACAGGTCCCAAGGTTTTAGGCCATCCTTGACTGCTTTCCCAGACCACAAGCAGGGAGCTGGATGGGAAGCGGGGCTGCTAGATTTATAACTGGCACCCATATGGGATTCTGGCATGTTCAAGGTGAGGACTTTAGCCGCTAGGCTACTGTGCCGGGCCTATTGACTCCCTTAGTTTTTAATCAAATGTTCTTTTCCTGTGTAAGGATGCCATCAGAATAACACATTATCCTCTTTTTAAAGCTTTGTTTTGATTTGGTGAATTCTTAGACTTTTCCTTTTCTTTATGACCTTGGAAGTTTTGAGAATTAATAGATATTTTATGGAGTTATCTTTCAATTGAGATTTGTTGACGATTAACTTATAAATTACGCCTTTAATTCAGTATTTAGTATTTAATTTAGTGTTGCATTATCTTTATGAAAACACTGTTTAGCGTAAATGT